GTTGAGAGTAAGTCTCTGGAAAAACAATTCACTGGTTCAAATAAATCCATTCAGAGTGAGTTTAACTCATTCAACATGCACCTTTAACTCAGTGATTCAAATGATTCATTGAGAGTGAGTTTTCAGAAAACAATTAACTGATTCAAATTGTCCGTTTAGAGTGAGTCTGTGAAAAAAAACAACTTTTTGGTTCAATTAATCTGTTCAGAGTAAGTTTAACTTGTTCAACATGTTACTTTAACTCAGTGATTCAAACGATTCATTGAGTGTGAGTCTTCAGAAAACAACTTGCTGATTCAAATGTTCTGTTCAGAGTAAGTCTCCAACAACTCACTGATTCAAACGATCTGTTCAGAGAGAGTCTCTTGAAAATAAACTCATTGGTTCAAACAATCCCTTCAGAGCGAGTTTAACTCATTCAGCACACTGCTTTAACTCACTGAATCAAACAATCCATTCAGAGGGAGTCTCCAGTAAATGATTCACTGTTATAAACTATCTCTGAAGGGTTTGGCATGTGAATGTGGTTTCACATGATTTCACTTGAATGATCAGTGTGGTTTTTATTAGTTTTTTTAATCTTGCTAAATAAATTGTCATCAGTAAGTACTGCACATTTACTCAATTGCCTAATTTGTGTACTTTGTCCACTGATGAAATACTGTTCTATCTGAAATACCAGTTATCCTGCTGTATTACAGGTGTTTGCTTTAGGTTTGAAACTGTTAAAATCTCAATAATGTGTTCTGTCTAAATACAATGAGATTCAGCTCTCTGTCCAACATTGTGTCTCTTATGCAACAGTCTGTGCTCATTGCTGTCATTTTATTTCGAGGGACAAAACGTGTGAAGTGGAGCATGACTTCGAGCCCTTCTCAAGTTTCACACGCTCGGCTAACTCAAGTCTTCATAATTCAGTCAAACGAGCAGGTGAAATAAGAGAGAGTCCTGTAGGATGGATGGGGTTTTGTGCAATACACAAGACTCTTTCTTCATCTTTCACTGTAACATGACATCACCTTAAATCCTGAGTTAGAAGAAAAGTGGGTTTCATCAGAATATATCAAGCAGGCACAGGTTCAGGGCATGGCTGTGTTGTCTTGAGTGTGTGTGTGTGCGTATGTGTGTGTGTGTGTGTGTGTGTGTGTTCTCAGATTTCTCTACCAGCATTCTGTTTCATGGTGTTGAAATTCAGGCAGCTGATAAGCAATTCAGTGATCAGATGACAAACGACATGGACAGAGAGTTTCAACTATTTCAACAAATTATGCAATGACGATCATGCCTATGCCTGTCATAATAGAGTCATCATAGAATGAAAATTCACCATGTATATAATAATAATATACAATAATAAAATATATAATACATAAATATTATTGTTAATCTGTTTATATTTTTCATTATTCTGTATAACTGTGACAATAATCAGAAATCCAGGCCTGTAAATCACTGAAAATCATTCACTTTTACTCAGGACTACACATCTGTCAACATATGGACTATAAATCCTGTCATGCACCACGCACTCACACCTGTTCTAGTTTTCCGCTGATTGCTAACATGAATACATGGACTTTAAAAACAGAGTCTTGTTATTGACCTTATTCTAAAATGCGGAAGTGTGCCTGTTTTCGCGATTGTCTTAGAACTTTCGATTCAGTCGCCTATGGGAGAAATGACTAGGAATAATAAACGGCAGTAAATGGCCAAACTACTTGCTCAACAAACAAATGTTTGCATGACTACACAGACCAAGTAGCATAATATAATAAGAAAATATTAAATTGCAACATCAAGCAGCGTAACGAGCAGTTGTTAACGTCAAAAAATGAATGAAAGTGAATGTGACCGGAAGTCGCGAGACAAAAAGATTCAAATGGCAGCGCCCACTCGACAGCTGAGAATAAGGTGAATAGTGTACTGTGACATTACGACGTGTTTTCCTTGTATTGTGACAGGGAAGTGCTAAACAACATTACTAAGTGTAAAACACTTTTACAAAGCTCAAGACAAATTTACATTTTGAAAAACATTTTTACCAAGACACAATTACATAGGAAAAACTATTTTACCAATGAAGAAACTAATTTACATTTTAGAAAAAAATGTACAACTCTGTATTGCCTGTATACATCTGTTTGTTCCTGTATTGACCATTGCTTGCCTGACCATTCCTATATTAATTTCTGCATTTGGATACATACTTTGTTGTCAGCGTCCCAGTCACATTACAATAACTTTGGGCCTTGCAATGTTTGATTTCTGCCTGGCAGAACCAAAGATTTGTCACTATGAGTTTCTTTGTGACTTTAACATAATTTATGCAATAGTTGGAGCAAAAATTTAATATAGAAGTGATTGTTTTGTCATTATTCCTATAGTGTGCATTAAAACTGTTATACATATGTTATTAATTACATTATCAAAATGTTGATGTTACTAATTATTAATGTACATTATTAAAACATTATTAATGTTTTGTTTCTATCTTGAATGCATTTTAGATCTCAGTTATGCTGTATTTAGCTGTTCTTGCAAGCAAGAGCAGGACAAAAGCAATTATCTATTGTGACGTTGCAGTTGCTTAATCCAAGGAATTACACATTCATGCTACATCAGTTCTGGAGAAAAAGATAACTTTTATGGTAAATATTCTGCTGTTAGAGGAAATAGGAGTCATGAAAGAAAGGATGTCTTCAGATGTCTTTTTTTCACTTACTTTGAGACTAGTTGAAACTGTATTATGCTGCTTTTCTTCAACTCAACTCAATTCATATTTATTTCTATAGCTCTTTTTTCAATGCAGATTGGGCCAAAGCAGCTTAACATAGATGACGAAATGAGAATAAAATGGCATTACAGTATTTGATTGTGGAGCATTTCAGCAAGTCAGGCAAGCAGGATTAGTGGTGGAATGCTGGTTTAGTTCTAGTTAAAGGGCACCTATGATGAAAATCATCTTTTTAAAGCTGTTTTGGCGGGGCTGTGTGTAGATATAGTGTGTCTACGGTCATATTGGGGTGGTATAAAGACTATATGTCTCTTTTTTAAATTTCCTGATGTTAAAACAAGATCCAAATCCCTCCAATTTTGAGGCCCACCGCAACGTGACGTAGGAGTGCAGTTTTCCTCGCCCACTGAATTGATTGACAGCCGCATATTAACATCTCTCCGTAGTAATACGTATAATCGTATCAACAAGACAGGATGTGCACAAAGCAGCTGGGACTAAAAGATCTGTTCAGCTCTCTGTGATCATCAGTCATCATCTAATATAATCAAGAGTGAGTTTTACAAGTTTAACACATTTTAAAACAGTGCATGTTTGTAATGAATTACAGTGATTTTACCGTCTTTATCACCACAGCCGCATGTCAGTACAATTATAAAAGAAGACACTTCCATGGTGCTTTGTAGAAGTTAAATCAAGTTTATTTTGTACATTAATATAACGCATATTCATACAGCAGTGGATATTAACCTGTATCCTGTGACATTTGCGTCCACAAACTGTGCAAAGTTAACACACTCTGTGTGTGTCTGTGTGTGACCTTTGTATCGACATTGTGTGTGACTCATTGTTGCACAAGGGCTTAATTTAACTCTACAACAAATACATCAAATAATCATTGGTAAAGTTCTTACTGTAGTATTTCTCACAAACGCTATGTGAGATCTGCTTCTTTCATGTCTGTCACTGTGCTGTTTATCTGACGCAGCGGAGGTGGAGATTGAGGCACACTCTGACAGGCACTTGGGAGTGATGGGTGGGGAGAACTAGCATTAAAGGCGCAGGCAGCAAAAACAGTTACATTTTGTTTAGAGCAGAAATGTCCAACATCCTGAAGGGGATAATAAATAATCCGGTGTTTTGAGCTGAAACTTTACAGACACATTCTTAAGGCACAAAAAGCTTATCCTAAATCCTGAAAAAGGGGGAAAATAGGTGCCCTTTAAATGAAACTGATTCAGTTCTGTTGAATAGAAATGTCATCATTGGAGGCCGATCCACTGAAGAAAAGCTTCATGAAGTTATTGAATTTATTTGTGAATGCCAATTTTTATTTCTGTAATCTTTGTTCAAAGTTGCAACTATGAAACTGTTGGTTTGAGTGACAGTGAAAGAGATTTACAACATTGCATTAGAATGGGAGAATTGCCTCAGTATGGGAAGTAAATGGATTTTTAACATTACCGTGAAACAGAAAACACTCACAAAAGTGATGATGAGTAAGTGTGTTGGTGCTGGAGGATTAGAAACACTGAGAAAATTGTGTCATATTCAATTAAAAAAATAGTGTCATGTTCAGCCCTTGTGTACACCTTATAAGGCCAGTGTGATATCGGATGTGCGGCGTAATAAATTAAGCTCCTATAATCTCATTATGTTCAGACTTCTTTCCCACATACTCAGCAAACCTCATTTAAAAAAAAAAGTGGCACTAAAATGGTCGATACACTGCTGTCGGTGCTTTTATTTGCTTGCTGCACAGATATTGATTTTAAAGTTTTAGTGCCATTAAAAGCTGAATTGCCATTAACCGGTGTCATTCTGTGTCATATGACAAGAGGTGAAAATTGTGTTGATGCATTGGCAGTGAGTTGCTGTTTTCTTTCATGCAATGAGTTTTTAGTGTTGTTGTTGTTGCTTTTTGAGAAAATAGCTATAGTGTTAATATTATCTCTTGTTCAAGTAGTATCCAGAGCTGCAGCTAATGTTTTTTTAATGTATCAGATAGTTCTCTCTCTATTTCCTACAGTAGAGAGGGTTTTTATTTTGTGAAAACAATGAAATACCTCATGCTGCGATGTGAATAGGTTTAATTCCATGCTGATTTGCTGCCAAATTATGATTTATGAGTGAAAAATATCACACAGAGAGAGATAGACGTGATGGTGCGATATCAGAGTGAATATGCAGGGGCTGATGAGGGGATGACAAGAATTATTCATTCATGATTTTGCACATTTTAATTATCTCTTTTTTCCTCTTCCAGAACTCATTGAAGAAGAGAAGTGCCAGACCAAACAACAAACCTGATAAAAAAGCATCGCCTCAGGTAATACATGCTAATAGTACATTAAATTTGATGAGTTAATTTGCTTTTCATGGTGTATTATCTGAATGAGTAATGGTTAAGTAAAAAACTGATGGCAAACTGTATTTCAGAAGCAGGTGCTAACAATTTCAGTGTTTCAGAAAACTGTTAAGGCTGTGACCTACTTTTTAAAATCACCTTTTATAAAGTAGTCTTTGTTGACTTTGTAACATTGTAGCAACTAAAAGGGATAATGAATTTTTTCACAACTGACATCATGAGAGTTATGAATGTGGAACATTTCCCCCTCTTGTAATAACCTGGTTTCACACCAATAATGTGATTTTAACGTGATTAAGACAGTACTCTGATTAAGAGTCTACCATGTAAACAGCGACTTTTGAAGTCATAATAAAGTAACTAAACAGAAATCGAATTTAGCCATGTGGAGTATGCTGATTTTCACATTATTGAAGTGCAGAACAGACATGTAAACACCTTAAACTATTACCGTTGTGTAGAATTTTCATCCCATTTTGCGACAGGATTGTCTTTACACATCCTGCTGTTTGACACTATTCTCTGCACTTACCGAGTCAGTGAACCACAGACAACACCTATGTAATGTGTATTTGTAATGTAATGTAATGTAACCTGTATTGCGAAATGCGAATGTTTTTCCCGTATGGCGTGCAGTATCAAATTCCATAGAAACAACACTCTTCCAGCAGTTTATACTCGCATCCAATATCTCATTTGTCATGGGGGAGTGCATGAAATTAAAGTGCAAGTGCCAAACTGCAGTTAAAGTCGACAAATTAAAAATGAAGCACCTGAAATTACATGAAGTTGGAGGAAATGTGGATAGTGCAGTGACGCAATGATGTTAATCGAATTATGTGCTATAACATGTAAAATGGGATCATGAAACAAACATACAAAAATAACTCATGTAAACAACTTAATCATATTATTGTCTTATTCAGATTAAGTCAAATATATAAATTACTGATGAAAAAAATTAAAATGTCATTACATAACCATGAAAAAAAATAAAAGAGACATTGCAGTCTTTATTGACGCACTTTCTGAGGACAGCTTAACCTCAAAAATTCTGATAAATGAAATAAAAAAGGTATCTGGAGTAAACATGTGTAACATTAGGAATATTTTTGGAGAGTCAGGCAGCCTAACAAGCCTGTTGCTTTGAAACATTTACATTGTGTAGACATAAATCCACCTTAGCTTTTGCCTGTAGTGGTTTCAGGTTTAAGATTAGCAGGATTAAATAGCTGATGCTAGGTATCATGTTCAAGCACGACACAATCCCAGGCCCCCTCAGCCTCAATTATAAACAGCATTACCATTTGTCATTGGACATTTAAGGCTGATTTATACTTCTGCATCAAGCACATGAGTATGGTCCAATGCAGCCTTCACAATGACACGTAGCACAATCTCTGTGATTGGTCGGTTTGGTAGCTGTGATGAGTGTGGGCGGTGCTGAGAACTGCGAGCCAAATTGAGCGAGTGTTTACAAGTGTTGAGTCCCGTGAAAAAGCTCCAAAAGAAAACCTTTGATTGTGTTGACCTTATGATTAAAGTTGCTGCACGTCCATCAGTTCCCGCCTCTAAATGAGTGGGTATTAGCTACTTGTACATTAGGGTAGCGTTCAGAAAAAACAAAACACCCATGAAGAAATACGACACAAAGTAACATAAAAACCTACTGCCAGCTTGGTTTTGGAAGTGTTATTGCAGAGCAACACAAACAGAATGCAGAAGTGTAAATGCACAGCTATGCGCAAGGCGGGCGCCATGGGTCACATGAAGTATAAACCAGTCTTTATTTTCTAAGGCCTCCCTTTTGTTTTACATTCCATGATTACTCAAACAAAATGTATGACATCAAAAACACGGTCTCAATCAAGATTTTCTTCCATCTTCGAGTTGTTGATTTTGTTGAATGCCTCACTTGATGTTGCTTCCAGTAGCATGCATTACATCAGCGTACTTGTGATTGTGTGAATGTAATCAGGAAAATGGCCTAATAGGACAATTTATACTTTGGAGAACTGGTGGATAGTTCTGTATAGAACTGAGTTCCTATAATTACAAATAATATACGAAAGCTCTTATTGTCCACTGGCCTTAGTCTTAGTCCTAGTACCATGGCGGTGAATGTGAGGTAACTAAAAGACAGCTTATTGTTGAATGTTTTAATTGCTAATAATCACTTTCTCTCCAGCCTCCAGAGGACAGTTCTGACCTCAAATGCCAGCTTCACTTCGCCAAGGAGGAATCAGCTCTCATGTGCAAAAAACTCACCAAGATGGTCAAAGACAACGAGGCCATGAGGGAGGAACTGGCAAAGTTTCGTTCCATGTATGGAGAGGTTGATGCCTCGCTGACCGTTGAAGAAGTGGCGGACTCTCCTCACACCAGAGAGGCAGAGGTCAAAGTTCACCTGAAACTAGTGGAGGAGGAAGCGAATCTTCTAAGTCGACGGATTGTAGAGTTGGAGGTTGAAAACCGTGGCCTTCGTGCTGAAATGGACGACATGAAGATCCAGGATTCTCCAGGTGGAATTGGTATCACGGGCGGAGTTGGAAGTCACCTGCTGTTTTCCACATCTGAGAATGTGATGGAGCTACAGCGACACCTACAGTTTGTGGAAGAAGAGGCAGATCTGCTTCGTAGGTCCTTGATCGAAATGGAGGAGCAGAACAAGCTCTTGATGAACGAGCTTAACCACTACAAGTCTGAGCTTCCCGCTGTCACTGAGATAGAGCCATCATCATCATCCACAACCATCACTTCGCCCACAATCCTTCCTGGTCCTTCTGAAGATGCACTAAATGAAGCCACCCATAAAGAACTTCTTGCTGCCAGACTTCAGATTGCAGAGCTGAACGGCAAAGTAAAGAAGCTCCAGTACGAGAACCGTGTGCTTTTGTCCAACCTTCAACGGTGTGACTTGGCTTCCAACCAAGGCTCCGCACGTCCATCACTGGAAACAGATGCCGAAGCCGGAGACTCAGCTGAATGCATTCCTAGCCATACGCATCGCGAAGGTCCAGTGGGGGATGAGCAAACCGATATTCTGGAGGAGAAGAATCTAAAAGTTTCAAGAACAAGTCACACTCACACTTCTCAATGCCTCAGTGTAAAGGATCTCCTCGCTATCCGTGACCAGGCACAACTTGTTACCTCAGCCATTCAGCTTCTGACTTCACCCGACACCTCCTGTATCTCACCGGACTCTGTCTATCGCAAGATCACCGCCAATGATTCTGCTGAACCGGTTCTACTAGAGAAGAGTCAGACCCCGAGCTCCACACTGCCTGTGGTAGAGGTCCTGCATGGCAGACTGCAGTTCCTTCAGGCTCAGCTCCAGGCCCTCAGTGAGAGGGTGGATGCCCTGGATGAGCCCGCAGTGAGAGATTGTTTTGACGGGATGTCCCAGATGCCCCTGCTGTCTGAGGCAGAAGACCCTACAGCAAATTGCTTATGCCCTGCAGATGCTCAGTTCAACCTGAACGCAGCCCAACAGAAGGTATGCACCCAATTGCTTAGTCAGATATTCTCTTGCATCGTACTCTTTCCTTTTTGCTTTGTTTTGTGCCTTTTTATCAGCAATATTGCTTTTTGTTGCTTTGCTTGATTAGTATTTACACATAAAGGTTTGCCGACCATTATAACAATGCATGTTTGTAGTGCATTATAAGACATCATAGTGGATAACATTTAGGCCTCTAATGGAGTAGTTTATTAGTACTGTGGTTATTACTATTATTACTATATTATTACTGTGGCTGTGCGATTTGGGGGAAATATCTAATTGCGATTTTTCTGATATTGGATTGCGATTTTAATTTTATAGTCAAGATTCAGCTCAATAATGTATATCGTAACTTTTTACTGCAGTGAGTGTTTAAACTGAAAACATATTGTTACTCCAACATTTACTAGATTAAGTGTCATTGGCAATACTATCAGTTGACTTTTTTGCAAGACACTCCTCATAGCCCTCTGTGGTGCTTTTTTAGGTGCTGATTGTTGTATTTCCTCATGCCGTGACAACAATTCTGCGATAGCTCTTACAAATGACCTGTTTTTGTTTGGTGTCTGTAACTTTGAAACCAAAATATTTCCATATTACCTAAGTGCGTTTTTTCATTAACGTTAAGGCCCAATCCCAATTCTACCCCTTAGCCCTTCCCTTTAACCCCTCCTTACATTAGGGTTGTCCCAATTCCCTTTAGGGTGAAGGCATAGGGCTAAGGGGAAGGGCATTAAAGGGAAGATACCCCTTCAAACCGAGATTTTTCAGGACCACATTTAAAACCAAGGGGTAAGAAAATTTCCCACAATACACCAGCTACAACAGCATCATGGCTGCACATGGAAGTCAGGAGATGCATAAATTATTATTTTTTTCATTATTATTATGAATTTTTACAACGAACAAGCATATGTTTTGATACATTCATAACCGCGCTCGTGTTTCATCGCCATTCTTTAAAAAAAAAAACGCTAAAATAAAAACCGCTAAATTTCGCTATCTATAATCCATAATAAAAACTCTTGTATAGAAGTCCCACAACATTCTGACACTCTATGACACTGGAATACCCTGTCAGAAAAGTTTAGTGGCTGTCAATGGGCTTTTTACAGTGTCTGCTATAATGTTAATGTTGTTTTGGTGTGTTTACATAGATGAATATCGCCACAGTAATCAGGCCCGGCCCTAACCAATTTGGTGCCCTAGGCAAGATTTCAGGTGGCGCCCCATCACATCGCAGTAAATTCCACTGCTAGTGTAAAGTCAAAAGAAACTAAACAGCTTTTTGATCGACTACTACTAGCTGGGAAAATGTCAGATAAATATGCCAATGCAGTTAACATTATTGCTGAATAGATCTAATATTTACACATTTGCTTAAGGAAGGAATGATGGGGTCGTTACATTAATATTATTATTTTCCAAAACATCTATGCCCTTCCATAACATTAGCTGACGTAAAACTAACAGATAGCACTATAGCTATTTAATGATTAGCAATGTTATGTCATATCTATCAACGTTGGGATGTTAAAATATGGGACAACAAATAGCTTCAAATGATAGAATACATAGCATACAATAGAAAATATTGACAATAAAATAAAAGGTTTAACCTATTAAAATCAATGGCCTATACAGAAATTAAATAAAGCTATAAAATCTATTTAACTTTTAATTGTATTTGCTATTTAGTGAAGAGCAGCAAATGAATCTCTCATTGTGTTTTGTTTGATAACAGAGGTGTTAATGTAAGAATTCACAGATCTATAATGAATGAATGAATGAATGAAGCATTCGACTACTTTAGTAACTGTTGTGCTCATTTAAGAGAAAATTAGTTGTGTTTAAAATAAAACAAGCAGAAAAGAGCAAAAAAAAAAAAAAAAAACGGAAAAAAAGAAGCACTTTTCCGACGGTCCCTTACGGAGAGCTCCACTCCGCGCGAGCTCAGCTCTCCCGGCTAAACGCATATCTCAGGCTAAACAGAGCAGTGCTCGTAATATCGAGCGAAAAAAGAGAAAAAGACAGCTGTGAAACATAACCAGCTTTGTCTTTTTGTAGGAAACACACTTTAGATCTTTTTAGGGTAAGAGGTTTTTGAGTTATTGCCATCTATCACTGAATGTGTGTCAGGAATATTGAAAACAAAACCAACTTATCGTTAATCTCATATGAAGCAAGAGATCACACAGACTATGATCATATGTGCAGGTGTTGTAGTGGTGTCCCATTTCTTAGGGGTAAATTTTGAAGCCCTTCACTTTCACACTCAAGGGCCAAGGGGAAAGGGGTAGGGGTACATAAATAGATTTGGGATTGGGCCTAATTCGTCTGTCAAAACTTTCGAAGTGCCAGATGCCATCATCCCACTCGTTTGTGCTTTCCTGTTTGTTTGCTTTATTGTGTGTGTTCCACTTAGTCTGGTTGCGCAATTTTGATTGGGCAGAATGAATATGTCCTCAGTCAATTGGCTAGTAAGACTGTCACACAAAGATGGCAGAAATGCATTTGCTCTGGGCAGGAGAGGTTAAATAATACATATATCCTTCATATCGCAGCCTCTTGCAGTTAGCTAATCGCAACATTTCAAATTGTGATTCGATTTCGATTAATCGCACAGCCCTAGTGGTTAAGTTTCCATGTTGTATCACTTTTTTTTTTAGTTATTAAGGAATGTCCTATACATTTCCATTGCTTATTCAAGGAATCATACTGTTGTAGGTAGATTAATCCATGCATGTTAGAAAGTGTCAAATCATTATTGTGTTTCTTAGATATTTTAAAGAAACATCTTAGCCTCTTAAAGGAACAGTTCACCCCAAAAAATCAAATTGTCTTCATTTACTCGCCTTTAAATTACTTTCTATATGTAGTTTCATATTAGGTTTTAAACCTGTATGACTTTCCTGTAGGGGCAGCAGGGTGGCACAGTGGGTAGCACTATCACCTCACAGCAAGAAATTCGCTGGTTTGAGCCTCGGCTGGGTCAGTTGGCATTTCTGTGTGGAGTTTGCATGTCGTTTTGCTGTGGGTTTACTCCGGGTGCTCCGGTGTCCCCCACAGTCCAAAGACATGCGCTATATGTGAATTGAATAAGCTAAATTTAAAGTTGGTGGTTCATTCCGCTGTGGCGACCCCTGATTAATGAAGGGACTCAGTTGATGAGAAAATGAACGAATGATTGAATGACTTTCTTCTGTGGAACACAAAAGATATTGTGAAGAATGTTTCAGCTGGTTTTGTTCTTAAAATAAGAGTCAGTACGATCAAAAACACTTTGTTTTATTTTATTTATTTATTTTTTTTTACACATTTGAGTTTTAATAGTTAATTTAGGCTCCATTAGAGGCCCAACATTTGAGATCCAATCCAGACTCTTCCCTTCCTCCTTCTCTTCTCTTTCTCCTCACTGCATGGGCATCATGACCTGTGGTCGCTGCTACATTTCTTCCTTTGTCTTCTCTCTCTCTCTTTATGATTTCCCTCTACCCCGTTTCCTGTTTCTTCCTCCGCAAAACATAGAAGATGCTTTCCCTCCTTGTTGTTTTGTTTCTTTTTGCCATTTTGTCTTATACCACAATGACCAAACTGTTTTTCCTATACATACTTTTCATTGTCTTGTGAGTTTTTTTAATTTGCTGCCAATGTTATATGGGTACCATTGTGTCATGTTTTGTGTTTTCTTGCACCATGCTTCTCACTTTAAATATGTCTGTTCTGTTCTTACATCACACTCAAAATGTATTATATCCCCATGCCCATCATCATATTCCGATATTCCGTCTGTCTTCTATCATGCTCGTCTTTTATTGTTGTTTTTTTGTTTTCCTTCATTAACTTGCCCATGCATGCATGCAACAGCCTGACTCTAGAGACCAGCCAGACTGTGAGGTCAAAGTTCACCTGTGCAAGGCAGACGAGGAGAGCAACTGCCACAAAGACAGCAACAAGGATGAAGAATCAGACTTAAAGGATACAAACTCTGATCTGGTGAGGCTCTAAAACATGCACGCACAAAAACATTTCAGATATGGTCTTACAATTGAACATACAATGACTCGAAATCTAATGAGCTGCCTGCCTAATGCTCTTTTAATGACTTAACGCTTCTGAGGCAGAATGTGTACATCCTTCATGTGTAAGCCAATCCCTAAACTCACAGTTCAGTTATTGGTTTCCATAGAAAGATGACTGGTAAACATCAAAAGCTCTAACATTACATGATCTTTACCGTAGTCATTTAAATCTGGGATTCATAGGGAGTTAAGCGATTAGAGTTTAAGTAATGACTGTAAAGTTTATCAAATGCGACATTCATAAACTCTGAAGAATGTTCATGTGGTTATGATATAAAAATACCCATGTGTCCATTAATAAAACAAGACTCATTCACTCATGCAGAGATGTGAACAAATTTAGTTCTCACTGTCAGCATGGTTTAGTTTTGACCTGATACCGTTACGCTATATTTACCCAAGAACAGAATCGGATATGTTTCCACAGAAGGGCTTTTGAGGTTAAGGCCCTACTTCTTTTATTATTTTTGGTAAATTTGGGGTGGTTTAGATGGCTAGTGATCTGTCAAAGCTTTATAAAACCTTGCAGTTTATACAGGGTATATGCAGGGCTCCTAAAGGTAATTTAAATACTCTTCCAAGACTTTTCAAAGACCTTCTCAGAATATTTAAGACCTCATCACCACTTCAAGTTCTAATCAGTATCAAACCTTTAACTTAATAAACAGTTGTTAATAAACAGTTGTAGTTAAATAAATCAATGTAGCACAACTATGCAACAGAACTCTGATAAACTCGTAAAAAACGAAGCTTGAAATAATAAATTACACTGTTGTTTTCAGCGACATGCTTCAGCCACTGTTTAAGCTCACCTTTCTCCATCTAGGAGTACACAAACTTTAATGTTCGCATTTTGCTGTCTACATGTGGAGATCGTCTCATCACCTTCTCGCGTTTGTCACCAATTATGTGACATCACCCGGACGTAGGACCTTAGCCGGACATGCCCCGACCCGAACCAATCATGTGGATCGAGCATGCCAGTGTTAATATTAGAAGAAAAATACATTTATTTATGCTTTTTGGAGTCAAACACTTTGGACTAAGCTTGAACAAAATTTCAGACCTCGTATAAACATGATTAAAACTTTTTTTATTTAATTTTCTCATAATTGATTTATTAACTTTTAATACTTTTTAAGACCCCGCGTACCCCCTGTTATAAATATGCAGTTTTATGTTATTTATTTTTAGGGATTGACATTATGATCAAAAACTGTCCATTATTTCGAGCTTGAAATCAGACTGGCATTATGTGTTTTTGGTGTCCTGCACACTTTGCCAAACGTTATTGCTGGATTCCCTGAGAAACATCAGCAGTTTTCACCCAAACAATTCATCATTCAGCATTTCCACTAATGGGACAAATTAGATTTTCAAAGAAGAGAGACAAATGAGATCTTGTGATCAATCCCCAGTCTCATGTTTTAAATTTTAGGAAGGGCACACTCAATTCTGAACTGATGCTGTTAAGTAGAAAAATTACATTTTTGCTTTTCCCCCCACAACTATTCATTCTTGAACAGGTTGTGCATATTCAAGGCCCTGATTTACTCAAAATAAAAAAAATAAATCATCATTCTGAACAAAACCAGACTGAAACAAGGTTTGGAAATCAAACTAACTTTCTAGAAAAGTTTTCTCCATCTACGACTGACCTAGCAAAACTTTCCTGTGATTAAATCAGGGCATTGAAACTGGTTTCCTGACCTCACCCTGATCAAAAGCATTTCTTAGAAGGCTTTACATAAAACATGCTCTTGAGTTAATGCAAGGATATCGAGTCATGCTTTTAAAAGTCAGTTTATATTTAAACAGGAGACCATTTGAGATGCAATAAGCTCCAAGAAATAACAAAGATCCCCATCTGCATGTGTATGTACATTGGTGATAGAAGCAGACGTGTTGCTTTAAACTGGATGACTGGTTGACCAATGAATTGCCTAATCACAGGGGCAGCCGTGGCCTAATGTTTAGAGAGTTGGACTTGTGATCCAATGAACGCAGATTCGAGTCCCCTTACCAGCAAGGATTGTTAGTGGGAAAACCATGGCTGAGGTGATTCCCTTGAGCAAAGCACCGAACTGCATAAATAATAATAATAATAATTCCTTACATTTATATAGCGCTTTTCTGGACACTCAAAGCACTTAAGACATTGTAGGAAATCTCCTCATCCACCATCAGTGTGCAACATCCACATGGATGACACGGCGGCAGCCATACTTCACCAGACCACACACCCATAAATGTAAATGTAGTATAGAACTAGGTTTTTGTGCACTCTTTTCTTGCAATACGACAAAGGAGATTGTGTTCTCTCAGCACACTTGATGCCAAGAACAGACAAATTGTCATTAATATGATGTGCTTTAAAGACAGCTATTGACATTGTAGCACCGAAACATTTTCACATGGCAGCAGATTTGCAGTTGTTCCAGTTTGTTTGTATTACAAATACTGAACAGATCGATTAATTACCTGTTATTCCCTCTCTTTCTGTTTCTCTCCAGCTGACAGAGCAGGTTCATGAGCTGCACGCTCTGCTGTCGGAGGCGAGAGAGAAGGCTCATGGAGCACAAGAAGCTCTATCACAGGAGAGACACGAGCGCCACAGCGACATTCACAAACTCTCTCAGGTACAAACATGTTAAAACGTGCTAATTTAGGTCTTTCACAAACACCGAACACAAAATTTAGCATAACTGTAATATCTGGTTGCAAACCTGCAAACAGGCATGTTTTCCTCATATCTTTTTCTTTCTGTAGCTTCAGGAAGAGCATCAGAAGGCCCTCCTCCGCCGAGACTTCCAGCTGCAGAGTCTGAGCCTACAGACACGTCTGCAGCAGAAGCTGTGGAGTCAGGAGAGGAACCTGCTGGTGCAGGAGTCACAGCAGCTGAAAGAGAGCCTGCTCCTCATCAGCCTCAAGCTGCGCTGGCTCCTCAAACAGTGGAGACTCGGCAAGAAACTAGACACAGAGAGCAAGGACATCCTAGAGGTATGGAGACGTTTTTTTTTTTAAAGCAGCTGAGGGGGTACTCATTAAGAATAAACTGAGAATGCTGAAAGCAGGTGTATTTACACATACTGTTTGCATTGCTTCATCACCTGATTCACTGAAGGAATTATGCAAATTGGAAAACTGTGCAAACAAAGTCTATGCACAATTAGCATGGCATAATTCCATAATTTCATATTAAGCCATGTGGGATGAGGACATAGTAATAGAGCCTGGTTAGACTACATTGTTTTTGCTTGGTGAACAATACCACACAGGTGAACTCTGAGATTTGATAGTCTTTTAGCTAAATTAATTTGCAATTAGCATAGATGCATGAAATCGATTGAAATGAGAGTAAAGAAATGTTGTCATACAACAAAGAACTTTGCATTTATTGAAGGATCCTGAAAAAACTCTTTCCATGGTTTTCTATGTTGATCTTTGTATTAGACGTAATATACGGGCGGCACGGTGGCTCGGTGGTTAGCACTGTCATCTCACAGCAAGAAGGATGCTGGTTCAAGTTCATCTGCTGTGTAAAACATGCCAGAATAGTTGTTGGTTCGTTCTGCCGCGGTGACCCCTGATAAATAAGGGTCTAATCCAAAGGAAAATGGATGAATATATACAGTATTTGTGGCTCCCCATAATGTGGTATCACCATGAAGTTCCAGGCCAAAGTTCCTCATGAGTAAGGCCAAACATAATCTGCGGTCATTTCTGCTGAGAATTTTGTAAAAAAAAATCTGCAGATTTATTATAATTAAAAACGTAATATATAAAATAATAAATAATACCTTTTTAACTTTTATGTAATGTTTACAATGCAGATCCAATTAGATTCAATTATTTGGTAAACAAAGCAAGTCTCTCTTATAAAATATTTACTGAAAGACAGAAATTATTACGTTACTACTAACTAATAAACTGTATTGTAAATAAAATCCAAAAACCATTTTAATATTACAATACTATCACAATATTACAATAATATCACAATAATAATTACATTATATCGCAATAATATTGGTGAAATTAATTTAAAAACTAAATAAATATAAATTTACACATGTTATTACATAGTCTTAATGACAGGCTAAAAGTCTGTGGAAATCTGCGGATTTCTGTGCACGCAGATTCCGTGTGGGCTCATGGGGCGTAGGCTACTCATGAGTCATTTATTAAAGTATGCTGTAAATGGATAAACACATTGTTTTCATGTGTCTCTTTAAATGCAAATAAACTGCTACTCCCCGCCCTCTTTCCAAAAGAGTGGAGCCTTTGCAGATCAAACTTTAGTTACTCTAGGAAAAACAAAAAAAGTTTTGCATGCATATTGACACTTTGTCGTTTTCTGAGTGCACAGGCATCAAGTATGTAAACAGAAGCTTCTTTGCTTTCCATATGGATCATCAAATACTCTAAAAAACAGGTTTATATAATGTTCCTTTAATTTGCATGGTTTCTCAACCAGCCATTATCACCTTAGGCATACAGTGATGGGAATTCTTTAAATTCATATTTGTATTCAACATATTTGTTGCTAAGTGTAAATTCAGGGCTACATTCAATGTATTTAAAGGCACAGCTGTTGTCAACTGTGAAGAAATCAAGAATATTTCGTTGAGCATCAAATGAACATATCGGACATAAAACATATTAAAGCAGCTTACTTATTATTTATATGGCCAATGCTTTTCTAGGTTAACAGTGTCAAAGATCTCCGTATTCTGCTTGAGGAAGATCTGTCTTCTCACTATGGAGACAATAAGATGTCTGCAGCCGAGGAACCACAACTCAACCCAACACCCAAAGAGCACAACCTGCCAGAGAAGAGCATCTCTCAGGTGAGTTAAAGCAGACTCTTTACAGGAAACCAACATGTATAAGATTTGGATTTCTTCTTAGAATTTCTGTATAAATGTTATTAAATTATATCTCTAATTTATATCTCTTGTTGCCCTCAGCAGCCCAGTGGATTCGGCAGTACTCTGTCGGACCTGAAGGTGGCGCTACAGGATCTGAGCGGTGAGCTGCGTGAGGAGCGTCAGAGTTCACAGGAGTTAACGCAGCAGTTTGCCCGGGCTAAAGCATCATGGGAAGTTGAACGAATGGAGCTCAAGAGTATTATCACTCAGGTGAGTGTTATGAGCTAAGACTGAAATTCCTGCAAAAAAGATTTGTATTTATTTTTTTGCATTGAAGCTTGAACTAGTTTGAATAGTGACTTTTAAATCAATATATTCCTGTTGTCAACAGTAGTAGATCTCTCCAAAGATGTTCAATCGGGTTTAGTTCTGGGCTCTGGCTGGGCCACTCAAGAACATTCACAGAGTTGTTGTGAAGCCACTCTATTGATATTTTGGCGGTGTGCTTTGGGTCATTGTCCTGCTGGAAGATGAACCGTCTTCCCAGTCTGAGGTCACTCTGAAGTAGGTTTTCATTCAGGATGTCTCTGTACATTGCTGCATTCATCTTTCTCTCTATCCTGACTAGTCTTCCATTTCCTGCTGCTGAAAAATATCCCCACAGCATAATGCTGCCACCACCTTTACATCCCTGCTTTACAGTAGGGATGGTTTTAACCTGGTGATGAGTGGTGCCTGGTTTTCTCCGAACCTAACGCCTGGCATTCACTCCAAAGAGTTTAGTTTTAGTCTCATCAGACCAGAGAAATTTGTTTCTTATGGTCTGAGAGTCCTTCAAATGCCTTGTCCTTCTGTAAGGTTTTCCTCTCTCCACAGAAGAACGCTGGAGCTCAGACGGAGTGACTATCGGGTTATTAATTACCTCCCTGACTAAAGCCCTTCTCCTCCGATCACTCAGCTTAGATGGCCGGCCAGCTCTAGGAAGAGTCCTGGTGGTTCAAAACATCTTCCATTTACGGATGATGGAGACCACTGTGCTCATTGGAACTTTCAGAGCAGCAGAAATTTTTCTGTCACCTTACCCAGCCTTTTGCCTCGAGACTTGGAGGTCTACAGACAATTCCTTTGTCTTCATGCTTGGTTCGTGCTTTGACATGCACTGTCAACCCTGGGGCCTTTTCAAATCATGTCCAATCAACTGAATTTACCACAGGTGAACTCTAATTAAGCTGCTGAAACATCTTAAGAATGATCAGTAGAAACAGAATGTACCTGAGCTCAATTTAGAGCTTTACGGCAAAGTCTGGGAATACTTATGCACATGTGATTTTTCAGGCTTTTACTTTAAATACATTTTTAACAATTTAAAAAAATTTTTTCACATTGTCATTATGGGGTATTGTGTGTAGAATGTTGAGGAAATACATTAATTTAATCCATTTTGGAATAAGGCTGTAACAAAAAAGTGCAATGAATACTTTCTGCATGCACTGTACAACTAAAATAGTACATTTTCAGTACAGGTCTTTTAGTTCAGTACGCAAGTGTACCAAAACATTGGTGTTATAATTACTGCACATGCAGAACTTCATTTGAATTTTCTTTTGTTTAAATCTTAATTTAAATGAATCGACAACAAAGCCGGAAGTTAATGAGACTTTTATTACAAACTTCAACTGAAACAGAATATTGAGTACAGGGCGGGGCTTTCTTTTTGTGCAACATTCCCTCATAGCAAACTAACGGTAAGAGGGGCATGGTTAATAATATTGTTGCTAAAGCTGTCAAACTGACAGCTACAGAGAAGGATTGCTACTCTATACATGGAAGCAAGTAGTCAGACTTTTGATTGAAGATTACCAAAACAAACTCTTTTTTTCAGGGATTAACTTGCACAGATTACTTAAGAATAACAATGTGTGCTTGCAAAATGAACGTTGTATACAGTATTTTGATTTCACACAGACCTTAAATCATAAAATTGATCTTTTAGTCTGTTCTTTTTAAGTTGATATGTAAATAACACTGCAGTAGACTAGCCCATCCTTCAACTTTCTATTTTATTAGGAAATTGAAATAAAAAATACTGTTTTGATGTACTTTGATGCGTGACAGATCACTGTACTGAAGTGCATGTAGACATGATTGATTTTGAGTTATAGCACCAAATAAACATGAAAGAACATGTCATTTCTCATATAATCACAGAAACAAATAAAAACTGTTTGTTTAGAAAACTCAAAAAGGAGCAATTTTGTTTAGTTCTCCACTGAAGTAATTAAAAATTACAGAAAAAGGTCTGATTTACAGAGTACTAGCAGAGTACTTTGTTGAGTGCATAAATTCTCTATAAAATACACCGTAGCCTGTTGTAACACAATAAAATCTGAAAGAGTCCACAGAGGTGAATCATTTTATAGGTACTTTGCACTGTAGCTGTGAAGTAATTACTTTAGCATTGATCTCACTGGATAATTTAACTCGTGCACCCAGGACTATAGCCATTGATTTAACAAACGCAGATTACAGTAATTCCTCTTGGGAGGTGCATTGTGAACACCTCTGGCAGAAGAACACTCAAGCCAGAGTGATTCCTGCGATTTGTTTGCTGTCCTACAAACTGGATTTGACCTCTAGTGTTGTTATTTGGTCTGGTGTTGTGTCTGTGGTGTGTCGGCGGTAATGCGGCTTTTCAATGGATGGCTGAGTGGGAGTGTGTTTGTTGCTGGTTGTGATGGTGAAAGATGAGTTTAATATCTCTGCTCTGAGACACATTCTCGACTGCAGTCTTCTTAATGGCTTAATTAATGAGTTGAGGGAGGAGTAGGACTCAGAGATGGTTAGTGGATCAGTCTGAAAAAGACAGAAGGAAATGGGAAAAACTAATAAGGAAGCAAAGTAGTGATGCAGTGAAAATGAATTAAAGCTGTTTTCAAAGGCCAAAAGAATTGTTACTTAAATGAACATTTCTTAGATTCGTAATAAAATGCTACAGCGCCTCCTATGTAGTAATCACAATAAGCTTTGCTACTTTTTAGATAAAATAATGTATTATTTTAACTTCTGGACATTGTATAAAATAATACAATAAATATGACTTGAGAATCACAGATTCCATTCCTTTACTGTTAGTTATAGCACTAAAAATAAGAGGTGTTAAAGAAACGGCATAACATAATCACTCAAGGAGTATTTAATCTGCAACAAATGTCAATAGAAAGCTTGCAAACAATATGTAATGATAAATTAGCCTCATGAAAACCATTTAATGTTCGTTTATGTATATATGAATGTATTATAAGTAGGGATGGTTACTGAAACTCTGTACTTTTGTACTGTGCTAAATTATAAGAGACTGAAGTATTGATCATTTTTGATGTTAACGGTTCTGCTATCATCACTGCTGGAGAATTATTGCTGACTAAACGTTACCTACAGTAGCATAATTTAACTAACTAACTAACCTTTTTTAATTTGCGATATCTGATATTTGTCTGGACTGTTGGCAATGTCACGTGAAAAATGTTCGTCTTGTTCTGCCCAATAGTACAACGGCGAGTACGTCAAGTATAGACCATTTCAATCTGGCAATGTCATGACGCCCTTGAACATTTTCTGCTTGATATCATAATATTTCATAACTGTAACAAGAGGCAATTTAATCATATCTTCACCTTAAAACAGCTATCATAACATTATTTATCAATATGTGGACCTTTTTGGATTCTCGGAAGCTATGGGAATTAAAAATGTGAAACAGGAAATGCATTAGGACCATTGTTATAGTTTACATTCCTCAAAATGGTCAATATAAAGCCTGCACAGTTTTCGCTTGTCAGTGCTCACTCAGCAGAGGCTTGTGCTGCGGACACTCGCCAACAACACACACACACACTTAACACACTTAACACACATAACCAAACGGTCATAAGTATGGTTTCGTTTCCTGAGTGGACACCGACAAGGCTCGTTGCAACAAATTAAGAAGTTGGAATCGATAAAAGTGGTAATATCGTTAAAATTTTAACGATATTATAAAATGTGGCATTGGTGGTGGTTTGTAGATTGCTAGGCAGCCATCAACCGCTTTCTCAGAAGACGACAAGTTGACAAAACATTGCTGTCACTCTGATAGAAGTTTTATTTATGGAGAAAATTACAAAGCACTGCAATGTTTGGGTGTTCTGTGTTTGTCTGAGATAATTAGTCTACTGAAATGTGTATATTTCATACAAAGTATGAAGCTGATCGTCAGTTCTTGTCACATGATTCGAGGTGCGCTTACGTCATTCATTTAACTGGGTGCACCTTGAAGGCTTGAACGCATCATTTCGCTTGCATGTGCAAGTCGCACACCTACTCTGGAAATAACAAAATAGCACGAACCCCAGAAAAGATCAATATGCGATTAACATTAAATGATCTCCAGTAGTTGATCTTCTTGCACAGACATGCTAGATTCACCTGATTTGTTGACAAATAGGTAACAGATCTATGCTTCGGCAGTTTGCGGGTCCTTCACTGGGCCCTTTCCCCTTAACAAAGGAACTCTCCAAAGACGTCTGTTTCTTAATCATTTTGCTGCTTGTGTGTTAAATTTGGGGGCTCAAGTGATCAAGATGCAAGCGAGAGAATCGGGTCATTTTTTCAAAATAAAGTTTTTAAATCAAAATAAAAGACTCAGGTAATAAACAAAACAAAAATAATTAATTATTTCTTCTGCAGCCCAGTACCAATTGATCCGGCCAGGTGATTGAGTACCACTGATATAGCCAACCTCAGGAGAATACACTGGAGAATATCAAATGGTGTATCAACGTTTTTCAAATTGCTAATTGCAATGCAAAGATACAAGAGAAGATAATATTGAATTATTCATTATATTCTCTAATTTTCTTATACTTGTATATTTTATTTTATTGTTGTTTATGTAAAGCACTTTAAATTACTAGTGTGTATGAAATGTGCTATATAAATAAACTTGCCTTGCCTATATATCTTAGGTAAAATGCCATCATACACATTATACATTGGCACATGCATTTTTAGAATGCATAGACTCTGAAATTAGATGCAATCAGAGACATCAGGCATTTTCTGGAAAACTATTTGGGTACTCATTATTTAAGACAATGTGTTTTGTGCCACTAATAGAGCAGAAAATGTGCTGCAGCTTTAAGTCAAGTGTGTGTATTCTGTAGATGTCTTAATCAGTGCATACAGAGGCAGGCATGCAATCTGTTGTGTTCAGATTAGCCGTAATACACTCTCCTCCCTTCATTGTTACAAAGGTTACGGCCAAAAAAAAAGTACACTCATAAATTGCACCCAAAGCAAAAGCCTCAAGACTCCCCAGAGAAGCTAATGACACTAATGCACCACTTTCACCATTACTCGTCTAATAGGTCAATATTACACAGATCCTTTCCTCCCTGCCACTCCTCCTTTTTATGCGCACTTCCTTTGTTTTTCTAAGACTGTGGTTCAGAGAATAAGCCAAGTGATAAAGCAAGAGATGTGGGATTTTACACCGTAGTATGAGCTTATAACTCTATGGCACTAATTACAGCCTGTCAGAAAATGGGTTATCGCTGTATTAACAGAACATAACATGTTATAAAACTTTCAGTTGTTCCTGCACATTGTAATGTATTATTAATTAACAATGTGAGTCAAATGTGAATGAAATAAAATAAAAATAAACAAGCCCCGAAGCCACATCAACAAATATAAGCATTTCTGGATCATTTTTCTTTGCTATAATCATGAATTATGAAGAGGAATCTGGAACAAATATATTTTGTCCTCTTTAATAAACCACATCAACCCATTAACCTCTTATTGCCATCCAAAGCAAAACTCATTAGGCATTATCACTGTGAGAAGCCAGTCACTGATTGTCTGATGAGTTCCCAGCAGGCTGTGTGTTTTAATAACCTGACTCGCGTACCCTCGTGAAGTTCATGAGTTCTAAAGATTTGCGGCTCCAGCTGAGAGAGCAGGAGGTATTCATTTGAGAACGAGGAGAGGAGTAGCCCGGCTTCATAATTACCATCGCTACTTACCAATTTTATTGAAGGAGCCTTGTTTGAAGCTGTTGTAAAACTGTCGATACAATACATAGAGCTGATGTTGTTTACTGCAAACAGTCTGTAGTTATGTGTCTGTATATATTATCTTTAAAGAACTGTCAATGTTGGGCACATTTAATTGCACTTTGATCTCTTTGTGTAATAGCAAATGAAATCTATAAACCTGCCTTGATGTCTGGATACTACTCAGACTGCATATAAATATAGTCACTTTTGCTTGTAAGATTTCAAACATTCTTTTTTTTTTGTCTCAGTCTCTAATTTGCACTTCATCTTTGTCATCAGCTGGAGGGTAAGCTGGGGAAGGCGTCTGTGGCTGTGGGTGAAAAGGATTCTTCAGACCTTAAGGAGGCACTAAAAAAGGAGCGAGAGGAGCATCAACATCTCTTGGCGGACTCTTATGCTGCTGTGATGGACCTTACCAAACAACTGCAGATCAGTGAGAAAAACTGGAGCCGAGAGCGGCTAGAGCTTCTGGAGCACTTCAACCAGGAAAGAAGTCAATGGGATCAGCGGGTACGCGATGCCCAGAGCAAAGGCGCACAGGTAGAATGTCATATTGGGGTGTTAGGATTTGTTTGCTCAAATGAAAATTCTGTCATTGCTTATTTATTTTCATGATGCTAAAATCTAGTTTGATGTTAAGTCAAGTCTTCTTAATTTTTAAAATAAATATCTTTCTTCTATAGAACACAAATAATAGTAAGTGTTCAAGTCAAGTCTTCTTAATTTCTAAAATAAATATCTTTTGACAATAGAACACAAATAATAAGTGTTCAAATAATAATAATAATAAAATACACTCACCGGTCATTTATTAGGTACCTATCTAGTTCCGAGTTGGACCCTCTTTTGCCTTTAGAATTGGCTTAATCCTTTGTGGCAAAGATTCAATAAGGTACTGGAAATGTTCCTCAGAGATTTTGGTCCATATTGACGAGATAGCATCACGCAGTTGCTGCAGATGTTATAGACATGGTCAGCAACAATTCTTGGGTAGGCTGTGGCATTGACACGATGCTCAATTGGTACTAATGGGCCCAAAGTGTGCCAAGAAAATGTCCCTTACACCATTACATCACTACCACCAGCCTGAACCATTGATTAAATGCATTCTGACCCTACCATCCGAATATTGCAGTAGAAATCGAGACTCAGAACACAGAACTGTCCCTCACTGGATATTTTCTCTGTTTTGGACCATTTTCTGTAAACCCTAAAGATGGTTGTGCGTGCAAATCCCAGTAGATTAGTAGTTTCTGAAATACTCAGACCAGCCCAGCTGTCGCCAACAACCATGCCACGTTCAAAGTCACTTAAATCACCTTTCTTTCCCATTCTAATGCTCATTTTGAAGTGCAGGAGATCACCTTGACCATGTCTGCATGCCTAAATGCATTAAGCTGCTGCCATGTAATTGGCTGCTCGCAATGTTTTGCATTAACGAGCAGTTTAACAGGTGTACCTAATAAAGTGGCCTGTGAGTGCATATTTATATCATCTAATATATTTATATTTTCCTCCATTGCTGGGCAATCACATAAAACCTATTATCAAAAAATAAATAAACATTTTCTCAAATGTATGCACGCGTGTGTATTTAAATATACATAATAAATATGTTTAGACACACATATATTATGTAAACACAAATAATTATTTTTGGATGCAATTAATATTGATTTTTTAGGTTTAGGACTAATACTTTATTAGGATAAGCAAGGTTGGAGAGAGAGGGAGGTTGGGATAGGGAAAGGTCTGCCAGAAGACTTCAATCCCAGATACAGAGAGTGTTATGGCACTAAAGCAAACACTGCACTGACTGAAGTTTACAATTTGTGAACAGTCATTTTTATGGCCTGGGAAGCCTGAGAGGCCTTTGTTTTCTGTTTTCAAAGCTTGTTTCCTTAATTTAATTGTTACTTTCATGTTACTTTTCAAAGTCCTTTTAATCGTGTTGTTTTATTTGGGTCTTTGAGGATGTCATCATGACATACTTTGTGCATATTTTATCCCCACACTTCCTTCACTGACTCAGGGCTCCCCTCACATAATTGGCGGATATGACAGTATCTCTAAACATTTCCGCAGAGCGCCTGCAGGCTGACTCCCTGTATGTTGCATCACTTATCTGGAATTGCTGGTTTTGCATTTATATGCGGCTGTGCAGAGTATCTGTAGTCCAGCTGGAAAGAAGCCTGAGACAGTGTGGTCAGTGTGTCTGTGCTAACTGCACTACAAGTAATAAGACTGGAAAAACTAATAGGACTATAGTTTTCTTTACATCTTCCTCCTACTCTGTCTCTTGTCACAAGTCTGGCTCGGGGCTCTAATATCTTTGTTTCATTTAACATCCTGAATGGAAAACTCTAATACCATGCCTCACTGAGAGAAATTGGGTCATTTACTTAGACGTGATGAACCATACCACAATCATTAGTCCCACAGAAGAAACTAGCTGTTTTGAATGACCTAATTTCCTGAGGAGAATATTGGCTGACTCAGTAATGCCACATAAATGAATGGGTGTATTGTGACAGGATGTGGCCATGACATACTAAAAAAGATAATTTCTCTTTCAGTCTCTCCATGACAAAACTTCAGAGAAGGAAGCCTTAGCTGATGTAGTCGCGGGTAGTTCAGCAATGCAAAGGTAAAATTACTTCCATACAAAATAATCTGCATTCCCATTTAATCAGGCATTATTATTTTATAATCTTTTCCAATCTCTTACAACAGGACCAAATCAATATCCCCCCTCACTGAATTGAAGAGTCTGCTAGACACCAGTCTACTCCTTCATAGTCACAAGGTCATTGTGGAACCAGAGTGCGCCATGGCACAGCACCAATCTGCTGCTCCTGCTTCTATTCTGGCTCGCACTGACTTAAGTGATCTCAACAATAAAAACTGGAAGTACCTGACCAGTGATTCAGCCATACTGGAGAAGGGTGACCAGTTTAAGACATGGGACTGCCCAAGCACCAACTCTAACAGCAGCTTTCCAGGGCTGGAGCTGAACAAGGAGTACATTCAGAGAAGCTACACCGCTCCAGATAAGACGGGCATCCGCATCTACTACAGTCCTCCGACAGTGAGGAGAATGGAGAGGAGGCCAGTCAAAGAAAACACCCAGCAGGATTACCAACAAGGACTATCATCTAGGGATGCAGCAATGATAGATCCATCTGGTCAGATTGCTGCATCTGCACCATTATTGACAACTTCCCCATCTGCATACGAGCAGTGGTTGAGTTCACTTTCACAGCAGCACAGAGATCTGCTTGAAGGGCGGACAGGAGGTTCTGCACCTTTCCATGGATTAGAGATTTCAGGCAACCTTAGCGATGACATGAAGGAGATGACCAACTGTGTACGACAGGCCATTCGTTCCAGTTCCCTGGAAAGGAAATGCAGCAAAGATACAGGGAGCCAGACAGTTGGTGTTTGTAGTACAGGAACGCAGACTGCACAGTTTGTCAGCATTGGTATGCAAACTGATGTACCCATCTCAACAGCAAGAGGCCTTCAAGGGAAAGCATGGTCTCCTCGTCCATCCACCTCACTTGCATCTGCACGTTCTCGACAGATCTCTTCATCTTTGGACAAAGTCCACAGTCGCATAGATAGACCTTGTTGCTCTCCCAAATATGGCTCACCTAAGCTCACACGCAGGGTTTCCACCTCCTCCTCCAAACTCGAGACCTCATCAACATCTTCAAGGGATCGCAGTGTCTGGAATCTGCATAACCGAACTGGATCTCAAAATGGTTCTGCCTGGGCTCGTTCCACCACCACCCGTGATAGCCCAGTGCTTAGTGGACTCAATGATGGCTTGACCAGTCTCTTCAGTGTGGTGGAACACTCTGGAAGTGTTGAATCATTGTGGAAAGCAGATACTTGTCCTGGGAGGCAAGCTGCCGGTAAACCGTCTTGTCCAAGTATCGGCGTTGGTCTGGGAGAAGCCGGAGCTCAGAAGTACGGAGTGGTTCAAGAATTTCTTCGTAATGTTTGCGGCAGGACAACATCAGTGAGCATAATTGATGAACCGAAGCCTGAATGCATGCCTGGATCTTTGATCAGCACAGATAACATCACAAAGATAGTCAATAAGAGGTTTATGAAAACACAAAGAGACGAACTGGTAGCCACAGGAAAGGATGCAATGAGCTCAAGCTCCAGTACTGTGGAGGTGAGACAATCTAATTCAAGTAACAGTATCACCAGTCTTGATTTAGATGATTGTTTAATCATAAACAACTGATTGTTCAAACCCCCTCCTCCTCCAAAGAATGGATCAAGTTCATGTCTTAAAGAGTCTTAAAAAATAAACTTTTCTTTTTACAGGATTCAGTTTGTGACTGCAACTCACAAACTGTCACTACCTGTTTTGCCCGCCACTCTCGCTCTACCACACGACATACTCATGGCCAGTGCAAGCATCGAGTGCAAGAGTCATCCATGGGAAACGAAGAACGAGTCAATATGATTAACGAGAGGGAATGAGGCAGCTTCTGCTCACACCTCCCAAAATATATACAAAGAAAACAACTGTCAACACACACCCCACACACACACTGCCACACAAATCCACTGCCACATAAGTACACCAACACATACAGACACACCCTTAGACAAACCTACGTATATACTTCATACCTTCAAAACAAGACTTCAGGGTTACAACAATAGGATCTTGTAGAGTTTGTGCATCTGGAGAGTTTCCAAACCAGACCTCAGTGTAACCAGCACACTTTAATGCCAAGGAAGGGGAGAGTGTTTACCTCCACAATTCCACTGTCAGCCAGCCAGATTTCACATTGTATGTCCTTTGTTCCAGAGTAAACCAGCCTGTCCTGCCTTTAAAATCTACCATTCTACCATCGTCCAGTCGGACTTTACCTTAAACTCTGCCATTCCGTTGTTTGTCATCCAGCCAACAGGACAGCATAGCCAAACTCAAGTTGACACCAGGTCTTATTGAAGTCATGTAGATATAAAGGGAACGCACAGCATGCAAATGAAATAAGAAAAACCTAGAACCTCAAAATGGCCTTTAGTAAGAGTAACAATATCCCTCACTGCCGACTGGCCCTTACTCTATTCTACAGATAGTATTGCTTGAATATCTGTAAAATTATCCCATAACCAGCCCATGGTGGACTCGAAGTCAGCTTTTTCAAAAGTCTACAATGGACTCCTTTTGCCTTTGGTGGTCATGAAGAAAGTTTCCAGGAAATCCAATGTGGTCTCAATTTTGGTTTTGAGCTCACATCTCAACAGACAATCATAAACCAGCAAAGCTTGTTTCAACCTCTGTTCTGCAACTACTTTGGACCATGTTCAATTTTCCAACCAGCCAAAATATGAAACTCTTAATCAACCCTGGATTTCTCTAAAAATAGGACTGGATGCGTTATGAACCTGTCCTTTTTAAAAACTTGATATTCTTATTATGCTGTCTGAAGATGTCTACGAAAAGCACGTTGGTAGCTGTAGAGTAGAAGGATAGCAGTTGTTATGTTTGCTTTGGTACTTTGTACTGTTCAAGTGTTTGGACATTAGAGCACTGACATGTAAAATCTTCATTCCCTGGCTAGGATGTTGTAATGATTTTTAAAGTGTATCGATCATTTTTATTCCTACCCCCTGGTTATGGAAGACATGTTCCTTGGTGTATCTTCTGCAATTGTTTTCATTGTCTACCTCTTCAACCTTCGTCATCATGCTGAAATGGGTCTTAGTCACGGTAAACACCAATTTTAATTTAATGTTAAGTCCCAGCTGGGTTAGTTGACATTTCTGTGTGGAGTTTGGATGTTCTCCACGTGTTCCTGTGGGTTTCCTCCAGGTGCTCCGGTTTCCCCCAAACCAAAAAAACATGTGCTATAGGTGAATTGAATAAACTAAGGCCCTGTTTACACTAATGCGTTTTAGTTTTAAAACGCATAAGTTTTGCTAAGGTTACGCCATCCGTTCACACTACGCCGGAGTTCTCAAATGCCAAACACGGAGTGTTTTGAAAACGCTGGAGAGGCCGTTTTCATTCTAAAACATCAAACATCTAAAATCATCAGTGTGGATGAGGAAAAACGGAGACATCTGAAAACGGAGGCAGGGCTTCTGAGATTCGCTACCTGATTGGGGCTTTCGTGTCATTGCGTGTCCTTCCCTTATTCGTCAAGCCCCTATCACATGACTATAACACATGGCTTTAACGCTACCGGAAGACAGTACTGTAAACAACAACATGGGCACAGAAATGGGAGCGTTGTTTGCACCATTGTCTGTTTTAGGCGCCATTGTGCAGTGATTCATTTGTTACGTTTAGTAACGACTCAACCTCATCGTCTGTCCACAAAAATACCTCTCTTGCTCTCTTTGCCATCGCGTTTAATGTTCAACCGGCGTTTGTTGACTAACAATAACAAAATGCAGAGCAAGACGCAAGCTTTCTGTTTATACTAGAACGCGCATGCCCAGAGTGCGCGAATGGTCACGTGATATACGTTTTTGGTGGCGTAGTGTGGACGGAGATATGTTCAGAGACGCTAGGTAAAACGCTAGTGTGGACGCGGATTGTTTGTGATCTAAAACGCCACTTTTAAAAACTAAAATGCACTAGTGTAAACGGGGCCTAAATTGGAAGTAGTGTATGTGTGTAAATGTGAGAGTGTATGAGTGTTTTCCAGTGCTGGGTTGCAGCTGGAACAGCATCCGCTGCGTAAAACATATGCTGGATAAGTTGTTGGTCTAATCTGCTGATGAATAAAGGGACTAAGCTGAAGCAAAATGAATTGAATGAAAATCTTGTAAACTTAGATCTCGCTCTTAAATCGACCTTGGGGTGTTACCTTTGAGCCCGAAATTATGCAAAGATTGTCAGCTACTAATCAATTGTGGTAAGTGCATAGTGGCTTAAAGTGGGTGCTCTCGAGCACCCTTCTAAAATGAGACACCATGTAGACCCAAGTATGGCACGATTGAAAAGGCCAGAATGCACCTCAATCCATCAAAGCCTCAGTCATGTCAAATTAAATTGTCGCTTACCCTGACTAAAACCCATAATCCTATTTTCCAGAACAAATTTTAAGCCTCACAAAATACTAATTATGCAGATATCACATATATAAACAGATATGTTTAATACTGAAACACTGAATGCTAATTAATTGCCCCCAGTGAGATTTTGAGATTAGAGAGATTTTATCAGATAATCCCAAATATAATCCATAAGCGGACCGTTTGTTGACGTAGCTATGCAGTTACTCTAATACGAGTGTGTGCCTCCCTGTAGCTGCTCCTGCATAAGCGTCGAGTACGTTTGTAATGTGTTTTTTTTCTCCAATCTCTAGTTGGAGTGGTGCTGCAGAAACTGAAGTCTAGCCTTTTGATGGTGCTTTTCCTAGATTTGATGACAGTACATTAGAGGAACCTTTTTGTATGCATTTCTCGAGCCATGCGGATTTGTTGAGTCAGCTCTTTTATAAATCGGGCATTAGTAAAGTTTCAGAATATCACATTTCTCAATTGTATGGCTAAAAAACACGAGTAGATATTAAAAACCCAGCCTATTATGTCTCAAACAATGCCTCCTTACCGCCTTGCCATATGTCCCACAGCTACCTCTTAACTCGAAACTGTATCTTGCATTTCATTTAACCCATTCATGTGTCATTTTGAAGGTCACTAGAGTGCCTTTTTAAAAATTCAAACAAAATAATCTGTTTTTAAGGAAAAATAGATGTTTTCAGAAGTCTGCTGTTAGCTAATGACCCCCTCTTTTTCTTGAAAAGTATGAAAATAAGACAATGTCTGTATTGCTAACGTTAAATGAACTGCGAATTGATTATATAGTGAATACTGTAATTGATTACAGAAGCCAAAACACATTTTGAGGACATTTACAAGTGAAATCTGCTAATGAAATGTAAGTCAGACCTATCTTTATAAGCCATTCTTACCTGTTCGAATGTTTCCTGAGTCTAAAGTTGCTCACTTACCCATATCAGACAAACGCTGTATCATCCCTTCAAGTGTCCCTTAGCCGTTTAGTCTTGATGTTATTTACTCTTCTAAATTTGGTCACATGATCTCTGAAAAACAGAGGGAATGACCTTACCTTAGGAGATTTTCATTTGAGTGCTCGCAAAGTCAATGCATCAAGTTCTAAAGTCTTAAACCAGGGGTTTCCAAACTCTGTACTGGAGGGTTGAAGTCCTGCAGATTTAAGCTGCGGTCACACTGGGCCTTTCTCCCCATTGACTTTCATTCATATGCACGCGATTGCGTCAGACTGGAATCGCAGGGTCATTATAGGAGTCAAAGTTCAAGCTTGGTGAACTCTGACCTGCGAAATCGCATCACTTGACTGCGTGAGACCAACCGAGGATCAAAACATGACCTCTCTGGACAGAAATTTAAAACATGGAGCAAATGCTCGCTTTTTTAAAGCCTAATAATCTTGTTTATTCTCGCCCCTTTTCGCAGCGCTGCACGACAGAATTTCACATTATCAATCTCTAGTGTGACCGCAGCTTAAATCTTCAACTTGCCTCAACACACCTGCAAGGATGTTTCTAGAAGGCCTAGTAAGAGCTTGATTAGCTAGCCCAGGTGTGTCTGATTGGGGTTGGAACTAAACTTTGCAGGACACCGGCCCTCCAGAACTGAGTTTGGACACCCCGGTCTTAAACCATAGGTCTCAAACTCGATTCCTGGAAGCCCCCAACTCTACAGTTTTGATTCAACCCTAATCAAACACAGCTGAACCAACTAATCAAGGTGTCCAAGACTACTAGAGATTATTAAGCAGGTGTAAGATGGAGGTGGTTGGAGCTAAACTGTACAGAGCTGTGGCCCTCCAGGAGTTGTGTTTGAGACCATTGTCTTAAAGCAAACCCACTGATGGTTTGATGGTTCTCCAAATTTGGTAGAACAATCTAAATGATGCCAATCACTTTTTAAACCAGTGACTAGTTTAAAAGGATTGGTGGTTTTAGATTTGAAACAGATGTTTGCATAGGAGCAGCTTTCTGATTGGCCTTCCCATTCACAATAATGGTCTCTATCGCTATTGTGTCATCACATTATCCTGTTTTAAAGCCTAGCAATATATAAAACACCTTGTCGCTTGTTGTCAATATCGTTTGCTAAATTATTATAAAGAGAATATGTGTATATTTGTTTGTTTTTTTGGTTTCCATTTAAAGTCTTTTGAATGCAAAAGATGAGATCAGATGAACATTGAGGAACCATCTTAAATGATTTAACTTGAAGTCAAATATACTGTAAATAAACACACAGTTTTTACTCTTTCTATCCTCGTGTAGGAAACATTGAATGTCTCTGCCAACTTTGAGCTTGAATTCTGTACCTTTCCTCATCTGAATTAAAAACATGAGAAGATTTTCTGTAAATACAAACATTTTGACAATAAAAATACTGAAATTTTCTTGATGGATTTTTTGTGATTCTTGTTTACATCTGGGTGGAGAGTGTCAGAGGTATGATGTTATGCTCGTAACAAATTAACATTGGATAAAAGTCAGGGGTAGATTTAACTAATAAGTAAGGTAAGCAGCCGCTTAGGGCCTCAGGAAAAATCCATATATAGGTATAAATTATACCTATAAACTATAAATAACATCATTTTATATCAGATTTTGTATAGTGAGAGTCAAACAAATACATTTTTTACATAATTAAATATGAATTAAAAGATAATAAAATATATTATTATTATAATAACATAATGGTATGTAATAATATGAAACAAAAGATCCACCACCCTCAATCATAAAAAAAAAATATATATATATTATTTTTAGTTGTAAATTCATTTTGAGACATTAATTATTTAAAATGTAAAACTTACATTGAGATAAAACTTAGAAAAGAAAATTAAGTGATATAACAAAACGGCAGAATTAATAAAAATATTAAAGTAGAAAGGGTGCATTTCAGAACTTGGGGTCCCATGGCTGAAGTTGCTTTGGGCCCCAAAATCACTAAATATGACAATATTCAATATTCAAGACACTTCTATACAGCTTAAATTGACATTTATTAATTAACGTTGTTCTGTAGACTATCGAAAAAAAATGTAGCTTAAAGAGCCCATATTATACATGAAATAGGGTCATATCTTGGTTGTAAGGGTCTCCAACAACAGTTTAATATGCATGCAAGGTCAAAAAACACTTTCGTGGTCTTATAATCTGCATTTATTTTTACCTAATTATCCCAGCGACTCCTGTATGAATCGTCCAGGGATTCATTTGTTCCCAAACCCCTCCTTAGCGCGAAGCTAATCTGCGCTGATTGGACCAATGACAGTCTGTTGCGATTGGTCGACTGCCTTCAGTCAGAGAGTGAAATGCAAAACAGCTAATCAGCAATATAAAAGTAATCACAGTTCATGCACGCTCGATAGTGTAGGCGTGGATTTTAGCTGCCAGTGGGTCAATGTAAATACAGACTATGGACTTGAAAATTCAGACGACTAACTATTTTATTGAGCAAAAACTCCAAAAACAGTTGAGGAGATCTCCTAGCTTCTCACTCTGCTCTTTTCACAGACACACACATATTGCACACACACACACACACACACACACACACGCACTTAACCCTGCCCCGGACGACAACGCGCGCGCGCGCACAGACACACATACACACACACCTCCGGACAACAGCGCGCGCACACACAGACACACACACTACTCCTCGTCCACGGAGCTCCGTTAACAAAGCAGCACGCGTCGCGTTTTTAACGTGACTTTGCACGCGATATGAGAATATAGCCAGTTAACCTCATACAGTACACTCGGTTACAAGTAACAAATCACAACTAAATACATTTGCAAGCTAGAGTCAACGA